CATTTTATATGGTTAGATCAGCTAAGGTCAACATTTTCGCCATGTTCTGCATGGAATCGAAGCACTGTGCGCACTGCGTGCGTGTGCTTCTTTAGCATGTTCGAGTGGTTTGTGTGTGTGTGTGTGGTGGAACTTCAATGCGAACCTCTTGCCACAATCGAGTGCAATTAACTGCCATGATATATGGCCAATCCCATATGCAGACGGCGACCGAGTCGAAGTTCGGCTGGGACTGAGCGGCTTGTTACGGTTTGTGTTTTAGCTTGGCTTTATAGCCGTTTTGCCGCTGCTTTATTGCACTTTTGGCAGCTAATATTTATTGGCCATAATTAAGGGGTCTAGCCGTGTCGTTCTAACCAAACTGGATGCCCGACAACGTTATCTTTTTATACCCTGAACCCATTTTCAATGGGAAATCAGGGTATAATGGTTTTGTTGAAATGTATGTAACAGGGAGAAGGAGGCGTGGCAGACCCCACAAAGTATATATATTCTTGATCAGGGTGACGAGCTGAGTTGATTTGGCCCTGTCCGTCTGTCTGTCCGTCTGTCCGTCTGTCCGTATGTATGAACGCGTCGATTTCAGAAGATATAAGAGCTAGAGACTTCAAATTTTTTTTAAAATGTCCGTAATTACAGCGCGCATATCAAGTTTATCATTAAAAATCGATAACTCATCTCGATCTTTTTTTATCGATAAAAAACCTTATCGAAACCCAGTTATAAAATTATATCTTCTACACCTTTATTGCTAGAGTCTCCAAATTTTTAATGTATGCTTATATGCAATTTATACAATTTCGGTTTTTGTTAAAATTTACCCCCCACCTCTAAATTCACCCCCTCACCCTCACTTTTGTAAAAAGCGTATTTCAAATACTAGAGACTTGTGCTTTGGCAATTACATGCATATTCATGTTATAATCATAATCTAAAAGTTTCATGAAGATCGTACGTCCATAAAAAAAGTTATTAAACAATTAAGTTCTCATAGTAAGCGCACACTGCAGCCCATGCGTGTTTATGCGTGGTTGCTTGTATGTGTATGTGTGTGTGTATGTGTGTGTGTGTATGCGTTTGTGTCTGTATGCGTGTGTGTGTGTGTATGTGTGTCTGTATGCGTGTGTGTGTATGTATACCTGTGTGTGCGTACGTGCGTGTGTGTGTGTGTGTGCGTGTTTCTTGTGTAAGCTGAAAGTCGCGAAAAAGTATTGAAATATCTATTGCTCCAAGGGTTCAGGGGATCTCGTAGTCGAGCAGTCTCGACTAGAGCTTTCTTACTTGTTTTTTTTTTCGATTTCATTTTCGTTTTGCTCCATTTGCCCAGCCCAGAGATCAGAGAGCAACGGACATTTGGGCACGGCTTCCGGGCAGTTCAGTTGAGTTGTGTCTGAGTTGCTTTTGTAATTGCTTTCAGCTAAATCGAAAGTGACATATAAATATACACATACATACATACATATATATACATACATTTATGTGTATATATGCAGCATATAAGGAGTTTCCTATTATGTCAGGAGTTCGGCTTCGTAATCATGGCCATGGCTCGATCATGATCATATGTGAATCTATGTATGTGTTTGCATGGACATAGCCATGCATAAAATGCAATCTCATCTTTCACCCGCTGCCATTCAAATCAAAGTCGAGTCCAAACTTGAAATTCAATGTGTTTTTGTTTTTGTTTTTTTTATGCTTCTTCTGCTTCTTCTTCGGCTTAGTTTGGCTTTGTGAAAAGCGGCGCGGAAATTATGACGCGTTTTTCTTTGGCATTGAACGAGAAGGCGAAGTGAATGTCTAAAACTTATCAAAAGGCTAAATGCAATTGTTGTTGTTGTTGTTGTTACAGTAGCACGTTTGTTTGGCAGGTGGATTGGTGGGCAGGTGGCTTGGCCAGTCAGCGCCACAGCCACAGCCACAGCCACAGCTCCAGCTGAAGTCTTGACTGGAGTCTGTTGGCCTGGCCGGAAGCGTTAACAAATTTGCGCAGAGATCGCTTTGGTTGGCCAAACGGCAAATGGCGCCTCGGCACGCGCATCATCATCATTCACATTGCCAGCATTGAGTCGTCATCATCATCATCATCATCATGGGCATCGTTATCTGCAACAAATTCATTTTCATTTGCTGTGGCTGTTGCCGCTTTTCGCTCTTGCGGTTCGTGTTGCGGTTGTTCGCTTTTCAACTACAGCTGCCAAAATAAAAGGCGAAGGCCCCCCTAAAAAAAAAAAAAAAAAAAAAAAAAAAAAATAAATAAAAATAATACCCAAGTCTATACAAGAATTTGCGACTTCATTGGGGGCTGTTCACTTGCTTTGATTAGCTTCATTGTCTGTCTGTTTACCATAAACAATTTGCACGAACTTGAACTGCGTTGGCGAAGCATCAGCTTTCAATTTGGGCCAACGACTACCGCTGGGAAGGGCCAAGCAAGGCAGTGGGAGTGCTCTTGGATCGAAAGAGCCGCTGCTTGGATCGGAATACAGTTTTCTGCTTCTTCTTCCATCACTTTTGGGCACATTGTCCGCCTGGTATGAAAAGACTTCAAGTGTGCACCGCAAGCCAAGGTTTCTTTTAAACTAATAAATAATGATATAATATACATATGTATATATCGGAACGCAAATATAATGTTGGGGGAGGAATCGGTTGTCTAAATTTCCTAACTTACAATTGTGCAAGTGCAATTTCTTAGAGAGAGAGAGATAGATAGCTATTGCTGAACGTGCTGCCGGGTATTGTTGAGTGAAAATGAGATGGCACTTTGGCTATTTGAACAGGGTTGTTATAGCTGGTCAGCTGACTTATACAGTGGCTCACACATTATTTCAACCAGGAGTTAAAAACAAACTACGGGCCCTTGTAAGCTCTAAACTAATTAAAAGTGTGATGAGAGGGAGAGAGAAAGAGAGAGAAAATGAGAGAGAGAGAATGAGAGAGGGAGAGAGAAAGAAATGACTTTCCATTTTAAATGGATTCAGGGTATAAGAAAATAAACAAATATATTTTCAATAATATAAAAACGCAAAAAAAACTATTTAAAGCAAACTCGATCTGCGCTGGATACTAGAGATCTACAAGAAAAGCAAGTTTATCTTATATACATACATACATATCTGCATACATAGTTTCTGGAATCTACGCGTTTAAGCATACGGAGTGAAGGATGGACTCAGCTCATTGACCTGATTAGGCTTAAAGCAGTTTAAGAGGTGTGCCACGCCTCTCTTTGTCTGTTACACACATTTCAACAAAACCAATATACCCAAAACTCCCATTTGCAATGAAAGAAATATAGTGAAAAGGATATCGAAATGGCAATGACTCAATCAAGCCATAGCTCATTACAATATAAGCTCTAATAGAGTGCGAGTGACAGCATATTTAAAAATCATAACGAATTATACGAATAATGCATTATGCATTCAGAACAGTTCTGAATAAGCGATCAGACGAAGCAAATGCTAATGAAGGCTTCGGCTTGCCTTCGACGGCTTCTCTCGGCACGTTTCGAGGCGAGCGAATGAATGGCTTCAATTTGTCTGGCCGCGCTTTCAGTGCTCGAATTCGAAACCAGATTGAAATTGAAATTGAGATTCGAGCTCGAATCGAATGCATAATGAGAGTCGACAAATTGCCGGCAATTTATTGTGCAATCGTCGCACTTCGCATTCCATATACCAAATTCCGAATTCCGTATTCCGTGTTCCGATTTCGATTTCGATTCCATTGGTTCTCACAATTGCCGCAATTGAGTGCAATGGCTGCTGTGCAATTAATGCGATTTAATTAGAGTACTCGACCAAGCTATGTCTCTATGGGCCCAGCTGCCATTTGGTCATTTGCTCAATGGCCAATGCAATAAAATTGCATTCGTATTACGACGAAATGCAAATGAAGAAGTCAACAAATTCCAAATACTATTTTTTGCCATCTACTGAAAATTGCAAATCACTCTTGTTGTTGTTGCTGGTGTTGTCTTTGTTGTTGGTGTTGTTGTTGTTGTTGGTGTTGCGCATGCGTGTGAGCGGACAATAACAACACTGCACTCACTCGCATAAATCGTTGACAAAGGCGTTCAACAGCGGCGCAAACAGCAAAATCAAATGAAAAGCAACAACAGGAAAACTGCAAAAACAACAAGAAAATGAAAATCACGAAGCTTCAACACTCTTTACACAGACCACAAATGTTTTTCATATATAGAAAGGCTGGTAGGATTTATTAAATCAAGTATCAAGTATAAATCAAGTGGAGCCAACTATATTATGTGATGCGCTTCTACAATTTAGCTGCCCTCCATGCTGAACAGTTTTCTATGTGCATTCACAATGAACATCACATTGGTTTCACAAGGGGCCAGCATGCCATCTCATTCGCACTCAACTGTCGTGCAGCCACAGTTATGTTCGTCTCTCTGTGGAGTGCCAATTTGAGTATAGCAAGAAGAGTGCTGCCAACTTGAGTAACATCTCCTCCTACTCTCAGTGCAAACAGTTACTCTACAATATCACGTTGTATTATGTATAAAATTCTTGAGGAGATGCGACTGAGCAAACTTTTTACTAAATTCCATTATATATTAAACATTATTATTATTATATATATATTATTATATTATATAATATTACTTACTGTAAAATACCTTAATTCTTCTCTCAAAACACTTGAGCTTTCATGAATCCTACTTCACCTATGCTTAACAATAATTCCCAGCTGCTCTCACATCCTTTATAATAATATGTTGCAAGAGTTCTGATAGATCGAGTATGCCTCTGCCTGTAAGGGTATGTCAAAACGCGCAACGCAACAAGAAAATGTATGGAAATGAATGCGCAGCACGCGAAAAATTCATTAAAAGTGCCTCAAATACTGCACAAATTTCAGAGCTGGGCTCGAAGGAGACTTGGCCAATTGGAAATTGAATTCTGGCCTCTTGATCCCGCAATCAACGCATTCAATTCGAGACAAATATTGAGCTCTGTGTAGACTGTGGCTGTTGTGAATACGTTTCTTTAATGAGTAACAATATACAGAGTATAGTATATTTGTAACATGGCATATACAACATATATACAATATATGTACATACAATATACATATATATACAATATACATACATACAGTGTCGACACGGACTAAAGTAACTAATCGATTGGTGATATGGCGCTTAGAGCGAGCATATACAGCTCGGGCGGGCCGCGCAGGCGCAGCTTGCGGGCGCAGAGCTTCACCAGCCAGGGTATGTCCAGGTAGTCGGCGCCGCTCATGATTGCCCGCACGGTGGACAGTTTGTCGCGTAGGAACTCCTTGTCCCAGTCGCATATGTGGCGCTCCAAGTCGGCTGGCTCCTCCTTCATTTTCACCCAGTCGGGCTCCTCGTCGTCCTTGTGGAACTCCATCCAGAGCAGAATCTTGAGCAGAATATCGTGATCGAGGGCAACCGTCAGCTCCTGCTGTGGCCCGTCGCCGGCGCTGTGCTGGCACATTTCCTGCATGACTTTCGAGCGGCGCAGCAATGCGAAATCGATGCGTATGAGGAAACCGTCTCTGGTCTCTAAGGGAACGCGATTCATGGCTTCAATTGGTGGGGGAAATGCGTCTGCTTTGAAGACTTCTTTGATGATTTTGACAAATGGCACCCGGAGTTTGCAGAGCTTGAATCGATGGCTTCGATTAAAATGCGACAGTTGCCCAGAGGACGGGCAGCGTGTTGTTCAATTTGACACTAATATGGCTTTGAGTATTTATGAGTGTGATTTTTTTTAGATGTTTTCTTATCTGGATTTCATTTTTTTTTTACATTTATCGAAAAGTTGTTTGCAAGTGAAAACTTTTCCAGCGAGTCGCTGCCTATTTGATTTGGTTTTAGTCGAAGCAAATTGATTTGAGAGCTCAGCATGTACACACACAATACACAACACTGAAGTCAGGACATTTTACAACACTGTCAAGGGATAAAGCAACGTGAAGATACTAATCAGCCAAAGCTCATCAATTTCTGTTTGATAGACGTAAATAGATGCATGTAAATATTTTAATTAATATATGTGATATAATCTGGGAATTGGGTAATTATACTGGATAGAACAGCATGGATATTATATACTAATTAATTAAGGTTAATTAGGTTAATTTCAAAATGCAGTTTGAGTGTGGAAGGATTATATGTATATAAAATAAGATTCACTCGGCCATAGAAATGATTGAAGGACATCGTTTGCTCAGAATGAGAATGACAATGAAGAAAGTTTCTCGGAACTCGATATTGTGACTTAACTGTATTTTTTAAACAACTTTTTTGCTCGAGGTAATCAAAATATGTTGAGGCAGTGAAATGCTGAGTTCGAATTCTGAAAGACGTTTTTCTTAGCTTTTCCAAGTAGTACGCATTATTGGGTAGAGACCGAATATTCAATGCATACAGAGTCTAGAGAGATTGAGCGCCATGGAGCTGTACAATTTTTAAGTCAAGTGTAAACTGTTCAGGTATATATATGTATGTAAATAGTATATATATTTATACATATATATCGCTTCTATGAATGTTTCTCAGCTATAAACTAGACTGATTGAATGAACTGTTCAGGGGGAACTCTAAGCTCTTTTGTTGGCGATAAAGTTGAGTCTCAACTGTGATTTTGTTGGCATATTCAGCATCGCAAAGACTTCATAAACTTTGCACAAAATTTCCAAGAAGAAGCAGAAGACACCTTTCGTACCTCCGGCCAGAGCACCTTTACCCACTTCAAGCGATCCCAATGACAGCGACTTCCCTTTGTTTAGGGAAATCTCAATAAAATGGCAAATTGTGTCGTTCAGGCTGCCAAATGTGTTTTGACTTGCGGTCGTTGGGCAACACTATTTAAGTGCTGTAAAATATCGCACAGCCAACTGCCGCAAGTCAATGCGCATTTTTGCCAGTTCTTTGACTCTTTCGAGCGTAATTCCAGCTGAAAATGAATTGAAAAAAAAAAAAAAAAAAAAATCAGAAGCAGAAAAAAGCAAACTGAAAATGAAAATGAAAACAAAAACTTTCTCGACATACTCCGCAAACAATTGGAGTTGGTGGGCGTGGCGCGTTAACTTGCACGCCCCAGCGCCAAGTGTAAAGGTGCATGGGAACGTGCAAAAAGTCGCAGGTGAAAACCCATGAGAAATGCTGCTCCGCTCAGCTAGCGACCGAGGTCGAGTACTGCCCATGAGAACCTGGAATGGCGCATGCATGGAAATACGTATGTAGATTTCAGGTCCTGATCTTGCACCCGCTGCTGCTACATAACTCTGAACTCTTCGCATTGTCAAGGTCTCAAGGTTTCAATTCACGATGAGCTGAGCTCGAGCTGGTGTCAGGTGTCGTCGGCTCAGACACTTTCAGGTGCAACAGGTCGATCCGGCGTGAAAGCTGCTCTAAATTAAAGCGTTTTCACCTATAGAACTTTAGGTCAGTGGTCGCTATGCGCAAAATAGTGAAACCGGTAAGATTTTCTTTTATACTACTAAAGCAATGTCATATTCAGTTTCAGTTTTCAGAATTTGTAGAAAGTGGTCGAAAGTGCAAGTTAGAATTACGAGGAGATTTGCTTTGACCAGGGAGCTGACTTGAGTAGGTTTCGTATGAGTAATAGTAATATCAACTGCGCTCCTCTGCCAGAAAGATATTGAATGCATATAATATTTTAATAGTGTTGAGTCTCGATAATTTGTACCCCTCTAAATCGAAAATCGCGATAAATCGAAAAAAGTTATTTTCTCTTGAACGCAATTCGTTCTCGATAATTCTCGATAGTTTGAACTTCCGGGACGCAAGGGACCGCCGTCCTACCCGGAAGGCGCTCTAAGCGTATAAGTTTGCTCCTATAATATAATAATGCCAGATCGATAGCACATGAAATCTGATATTTTTTGCAGAATTCAATTGCCACTTAAGCTGCAGCAAATACTTGAAAGATTGCGAATCATATGAGAAGACGAATGGAGGAATAACTATATATAGATCTATAAAAAAGCTCTCTTTACATTAGTAGTATATAAGGAGTTTAATAATTACTGCTCGTATGTAGTTACTCATTGCTTGGTTCTTAGATTATAGATCATATTCTATAGATTTCACTCTATATAACTGAGTGCATGACAAATCTAGAACTAGATAATATTCTAAAGAATTCTGCCCTATATGACGAAGTGTGTGAAAAATGCATTCATTCATTAGACTGATGTATACTTAAGCAGCTGGGAGCGTTGTCTTAAGACATATACAATCCACTCAGATCCATATAGAACTGAATACGACAGTTCGCACAGAGCGCGCGAGTTGCCATTTCCGTTGCATTTGAATTTACTCAATATTATTATTTACTTATTATTGTGGCTTGATTTTTACCCCCAATTTTCTTGTTGTTGTTGTTGATTTGTGTTTTGTTTTTTATTTTCTGAGAGGTTTTATTTTTGTTGGCAATTGCACGAGAAAAAAAAGTGCAACGAAATATGCAGAAAAATGATTTAATAAGTTGTTCAACAACAATTCGAAGTCAACCGGATATCGGACTGTGCGGAGAGCTTGGCCAAATGGTGTTGCAATTTCCCTAAGTTGTTGTTGTTGCTGTTGCTGGGGCAGTTGCATGTGGCAACTGTTGGCAACAGATGCGTGTGGCACGATCGGACGAGCCGTTCGTCAATTAAACGTTAGTCGAATTTACAGCTTGCGCCCAATTAATGCCCCAAGTGGCAGCCACAGACAGCGGCAGCTCCACTCGCCAGCTCCCCACTCCACTCCACCCCACTCCACCCCACTCCACTCCACTCCGCTTCACACTCTCCAGGCAAGTCGATTAATCAAAGAGTCAAACGTTTTGACGCTTATCGAACGTTTTAGCGCCTGGTGATGATCAGTTAGTTAGGCCGGACAGCGGCAGATGACGACAATCATCAGCAGCAAACGGCAGCGAAGAGCAACAGCAACACTAGCAACAACAACAACAACAACAACATTGATTTACGAGTTCCGCTCGCACAATCTCACGCTTGCGGCTTCCATTCGTAGTGCAGCAGTCAGCATCGATTCATTTGCTTCTCGGCTGCATTCGCTCATTCAATTTATTCAATTCATTCATTTGGCATCTCGCGTAAAACATTTGTCGACCTCACGTACCGTCCGACAGCATGACGTCGACTACCTGGCGGTGCTACCTGGCTGCCTGTCTCGCCTGGCAGCCCTCTTGCCGCCCCTGGGCCATAATTGTTTTTGTCTCTTTACGATCATTGTTTAATCACCGACAAACTTTTGGCTGCCTCTGCAATCATTTTATTGATGTCTTTGGCGCTTTGATCGAGCCGGTGTTTCATGCATAATGGAGTTGCTTTTATCGTTGCTGTTGTTGTTGCTGATGTGTAGCACTTGGTTAGCGGAAAGCACTCAAATTTCCATTTAAACTTCGCTTTAGCGCATCGACAACAAATTTGTCTTTCGACTCGCTCATCGTCCAGCCAAACTCTGTCCCCTGCTCCAGCTTTAGGCAAGCGCCAAGGCCTTTGGATCATATCAAGGGCAACGACAGCTGCTGCTTTTGCGCGGGTCGATCTTGTTTGCTTTGTCTTGACAGTTGCAATTTGGGGCTACGCCGCCCGTCTGCTTAGATAGTCACGACTCGGCTTGGCGTTAAAGTCTTTCAGCTGAGATATCCCGGTAGAGGCGTTGATAACGGCACCGTATAAAGTCTACGAAATGCATCTGATTTGTAGACCGCATGGACTGTGATTTCAGGTATTCCATAGCCAGGAAAACGGTTCATGTGCTTGGAGTCACACTAACCCTTCTAAAGCCAAAGATGTGGTTTATGGAGTCACAGAGGGTGCGGCCCAGGAGTTCATAGTTTAAGTATCATTGCATGGGGTAATACGAACATTGAGCATTTGTCAAAGCTCTTATTGTACTACAGATTTGAGAAGTAACCGAGCAACTCTTAAAGGCGTTTTCAGCGAAGGGGCTATTCTTTTAAGTGTCGTACAGCTCTACTTTTTCAATTCTCCTTTTTTTTCAAAATAAATTGAAAATGATTTAAATGAAGATTTAAATTTTTAAAGAACCTAATTTAGAAACAGTTCTGAGTCATTCAAATTGTCTGTTATATATCCTATTAGACACCCAGTATATAGACATATGTAAAGGAATTGCAACTGTTTACGAAAGAAGAGCACGTGTATAAACAAGAGCTATTATAATATGTAGCTATTATAATATTTAAGAGTTGTATGTAATATCTTCATGCTGCTGCAGCTCCCATAGAACATCATATATAAATATGAAACAAAAAGTTGTTTTCTTCTATTTTATACTTATTTGATATTCGTTTTTATTGCCAATTATTTTGGAGTAGTTCCATGATTGTTTTATACCTACAACTTCTCAAATTCCAGCCAATTTGTATAGCAAACTAAGAAACTAATGCTAAATGCTTAAAATGCCATAATTATGGATCGTATTTAAACTACCGTGGATAAGGTCGTGCTTGAGGAAACGCGCCATGTGTAAACATTCCCATGCGCTCTCAGCTCGGAAAGCCATTGCGATCATTATGAAAACAGTTGCCAAAGAGTGGCCCGACTAGAGAGAAGAGAGAAGAGAGCAGAGAGCAGAGAGAAGCGGTAAGAGTGAACAGCGCAGAGTGAGGCAAGGAAAAGTAAACTAATTAACACATCGACACCGAAACCCGATGCGAGCTGACATATAAATATGGGTCGACTAAGCTGGCGAGTAGTACATCGCTGTCTATACATATATAGATACATATATATAGACATATACATATGTATATATACGAGTATCTGTTCAGTTGACTTTGCGCCTAACTAATGTAATTTTGATGTACTGAGCAAGCAAACAGCTAGAAAAATGTGTAGGCCATTCCAGTGTGTGTGTGTGTGTGTGTGCGTGTGTGGCAGTGTGTGTTGCAAGCAATTAACTGGGCGTCAAGTGTTGGCCAACTGTGCGAGCTCCGCTTGTATCGAGAAACTATAAAAGAGCCAAAATATCCACATTTTCACATATCCAAATGCATTGTCACACACTCTCCCAGCAGCTGCTCGGGATGATCCAGTGGAGTATGTGGAAATGGGTAGATTTAACCCCTCCACTGCACTCCTCCCTCCCCCTGCCCCTCGCAGATTTTGCAATTTTTGGTTAATTCCTGAAGCGTGCGCTCATTGAGTCGAACAATTTCCGCCTTTCGCCTTTCGCCTGCAACTGCATGACGATGTCTCTCGGCCTCTACCTCTGCCTCTGCCTCTACCACCACCTCTACCTCTGCCGATGAGGCTTACAATGAGGTAGAACCGATTGCAATGCCATTGCCCAGACCTAGACCCGAATCAGCCTTGATAGGTCTGCTAGGCGCGGCTGGTGCGACTCGACGTGGCCTGGGAGTTGTCTGCTACCGTTTATAAATCTCTTAATTAAGCACTCATTAAAATGCTAATTACGCACTTTAAGCAATTCCATTTCAACATTTTCAGCTAATATAATTGTTGGCTTTTTCTTTACGCGGCTCTACGTTCCATTTCAATGGCATCGAGCTGCTGCTGCTGGTGCTGCCCGGACCTCAACCAGTCCAGCAGTAATTGGCCATAAAAACCTTCGCGCCGCTTCATTACGTTTCGCTGTTCTACTTGCTAATTGCGTTTACCGTTCGGCTGTTCCGTCTAACCGATTTCTATATACTTACAACATATCAAACTATGCATACAACTATTTCTGTGTTTTCCATACACGAAATCTATTTGCGCACCATTTAAAGGAAGAATTAAGGGCCTCGGCTAATTTCTGGTGAAGAGATTGGATGCATTTTTTTTAACTTACATGAATATATTAAGTAGATATTTCTAATATCAAGGAAATGATCTGAAAATTTTATGAATATCTTACATGATTTGGCTCATGTCACATCATCCGAATTACCGAGTGGTTCTAGTCCTCCACTAGCTCGAGAGCAGTCCTTTTCCCTGTCTCTAATGTTATACATACTTGCATATATAATTTACCATTTTCCATATAGTTCCCTGAAATTGCATTATAGTATATATCAAATCCCATATTATAATCGTTGTTTTCTTTGCCATCTCTTTTTCTGTGCAGTGCCCCCAATTGACGCTGGGCTGCGTCATGTTGTTGTTGTTGCCGCTGCCTATGCAATATGTAGAGCAGCAGCAACAAGTGTTGGCCAAGAGTGACAGCTGCATTGAAAAGCGTCTAAAAGGCTGCCTGAAATTCATCTAATTTACCCAAGGGAAACAACAACAACCGCAACAACAGCGACAACAGACGCGAATCTGTCTATAGCCAGAAGCAATTAGAACGAACAAAGGCACATTGAAGACAAGACCTGAGGAGAGGCGAGAAAATCAGCTAACAAATTGTTGCTGGTATTTGCAACAACAATCACAATCACAACTACAACTATAACAACAACAACAAGATCACAAACAAGTGTTGCCGTTTCAGCAAATGCAAAACAACCATTCTGTGATATCTTAAGATCCAAAGGTAAGTCGAGCCCATTTGGAGCCAAGTGGAACGGAAATGCATTTGCCATCCGAATCCGAAATCCGAAATCTTATGACGTATCCATTTAGCTGATCAAAATGAGTAGATAATCCATGTGGAGATTCACAAATGTTGAGGACAAATATTTCAGCTAAAGTTGACAAATGGTAAATGACATTGCTGGGGGAGAATTTTCTCTATGAATAAGTCAGACAGTTTAATGCGCTAGAATAATAGTTGTATATAGTATATATATTGTATAGTAATTGGTATTGTATGAGATGATATCTGTAGTTTTCGAGCTAAATGACATAAATAGATCATTTAAACTGGGCATTCATCTGTTACCCGATTTCATAGATAATACCGTAAGTTCAAAGATCTCTGTAGACATGGGGAACGGAGTTGACTTCATATAGAACTTCTGCTCAGAATGGATTGTTTTTATAGTATTTCAATTTAATATTGTGATATTTCTAATAGAAAAGTCTCATACAGTAGAATTCCGATAATTCGAAACGGGGATAAATTTTTTTCTCGATTTACAAGGAAAGTCAAATTATCGAGAATTATTGATAGCGTCTTTCTTTCAAGGGCATAGAATTTTTTTTTCGATTTATCGCGATTTTCGATCTAGAAGGGTACAAATTATTGAGGCTCAACTGTATGTTTCACTAAGAAATGTTTTTCATTAAAGTTGAATATAATTTGATTCACTTGAATTATAAATTCATGAAATATAACTTCAATAAAACTTACTTTTATATTTTTCAAAATTCTAATTGAATTCCACTATAAATTTCCACCATATTGACAACATATTGCATATAGATCAAGCTAGACAGATGATTCAACGTTTGTACTTTGGTTAATAATAGAGCAACTGGGATGCAAATCACATTCCAAGACAAATAACCCATATTTAAATGAAGACATGGAGGAATAAAGATCTTGTAGAGCAAGCGCCTCATGAGCTAGTTAATTGATAGTTTGTGTAGAAGTCGATCTTATGCTAAATTTGAAATGTTGGCTGAAACTGAACGCTGACATGATATATGGACTATAATGCATGGATCGATCGCTCCATATAGACTCGTTTAGCATGTGACAACAGGCGATGTTTGAGCGCAACCGTTAATTAGTGGCAGTGCAGACTGCTAGTGCGGGGTTTGGCCGCCAGGCGGCGCCCCCGCTGGGGGCTGGTGGGTGTAATTGGAGCTGGCTGCCGCTGATTGGCTGGGACTCGGCTAGTTGCACTTATAAATAATATGCAATGTGCCAATCTAAAAATGAGATAATAAAGAAAAAAAAAATGAAAACAGTGTTGACAATGACGAACAACAACAACAACAACAACAACAACAAAGGCAGCGACAGCAGTTGCTGCAGCGAACCAGTCACATTCTTAAACTGTCAGTGAGAATTAGAGAGCAAATTATGCTAACTAAATATGCGACGTGCAAATATTTTTCCAGCGAGCTGCTGCAATCGCCGCACAGCGGGACTCGGGCCACGCGAACGGCTGTGGACTGGTTGGACTCGGTAACTGGTAACACTCGCTGGGCGTGGCAGCTGCCAATCGAGGCATCGACATCGCCCTGGGCGGGAAGGGGAAGGGGAAGGGGAGGGAGAGGGGTAGGAGGTGGGGTGTATGTTATGTAAGCTCTGCAATTTGGAGCTAGGTTCCCCTCCCCCTCTCCACCACACATTGAATCATAATTATTGATGCGATCAATGCAGAAATTCAATTTCAACCATTTCAAGACATTGAAATGGAAATAGAGATCGGCATTGCGGAATCTGGGAATCCTGGCCACGCAGCGGAATCGACTGGAACCAATGGTGCCGCAGCTATATTGCGAAAGATCTCTTTTGGTTTTTGCTTTGCTTTGTGTTGCTGGTAAATATGTCACGGGGCTCGGTTGCTGCCACCGTGAATAACTTAACACAAGAGTCGCAAAAGTCGTCGGCTCCAATTGCGCCACGGTAGTTAAAAGGTGTCAATCAAGCTGCCTGACCAACATGCAATCCATTGGCCAGACCCAGCGCCAGAGCCAGCGCCAAAGCCAGAGCCAGAGCCACAGTCAGCCAAAACAGTCCCAGCATTCGCCGTAATCAGTAGAGCAGTGCTGCACCGTTTAGCCGAATAAAAGCTAGATTAACTCCAATTTCAAGCGCAAACTTCTGAGTGATTGGACAGCTGTGATAAATTTAAGCTGTTTCTTCAGGCATGAACATACGAATATGCGAATATACAAATATCTGGTAGTGCGATGGGGAAAGATAAGGGTCACATGTACGGATTCTATAAATAGACAGATGAATACTACCCCAAAACAAGGATATGTAAGAGACGAGCGCTGATCCTAGCAAACTCAGCGATAGGATAAGAATAAGCAATAGACCAAGGCTGAGCCTTATACACTCAGCAATAGATGCACTAGTTTTAGGTTGATAATATGCATGCAGTCTGGGTGTAAAACCCGGGCTAAGAAGGATAAAGATCAATACGAAACTAAACGCCATCATAGTCAAGTGCATTCGTTCACTGTTTGAGAGTATTAATATGGAATATGGATAAGTAAAGTTTGTATAATACCTTAAATCAATCAGCAAGTGATACAATACTGGGCAGCACATTCTTGATTTCATCACACGAAATCGAAATTTGATTTACTGTGTCAAGTCCAAGTATTGCAACTTCAGGAAAAATAAGTCAAAGCATATCTAAGGAAATCCATGAAATATTATGTAGGCTCATAATAAAGGGTTTTGGTATATTCTGAATGTTAAGCTATAATCAAGTAGCTCCATCCTATCAAGTGTTTGAGGTGCATTGAATATGGAGTCAACAAGTTAGAGTAGTCTTGTCCAGATTGCACGACTAGGCTAGCATCTGTCCAGTTAGCGGCCAAGTGTTTTGGCCGCATGTCGTGTTAATTAAAGCCAAATGAAGCTGAAACTGAAGCTGAAATTCAAATTGAAATTGAAATTGAAACTGAAACTGAGATCGAAACAATTCTCTGCTCGCAGCCAAAGCGCACAGTTCACGCTCCTAATCCATGTCCATTGGATATTTAGTGGGATATTTAGGTGTGCTGGCAGCAGCTGCTGCTGTTGCTGCTGTCGCCCTTTTGCTGAACTAGTTGAGGCCAGGCAGCTAAATACTTTGTCATTAAAGGCAAATCATGATGGAAGGCGAACGCCCCCGAACGGTCATCAAAATCGCTTCACTTTGCATAATAAAGTTGTTGCCAACGAGCCCTGCCCTGTGGTGCGCCCGCCTCCCGCCTCCCGCCTCCTGCCTCCCTTCTCTAGCCTGTTGCTGGTGCTCCATGGACTCTGGATTCATGGCTGGCATGAGATCTGCATGTTCCCACGCCCAGTTTTTTTTGGAGCAACTCCACAAAACTTTGGCTGTTGGCTATAAATGCAAATCAAGTGATTTTTTATTGCTCGCTTTGCGCGCGCCTTATTGTTGTTGTTGTTGTTGCTGTTGCTGTTGCTGTTGTTGTTGTGAGCAATCGATTTGAGCTCTTGGTTTTGACTAGCGGAAATTGTCGGCTGTTTGACTGACACAGATTCGGCCCACATAATTGTTGGGCAGCACCACGGAACATGCGGCGTATACGTAATAAGAAAATGCCCAACCAAATTACGCATGCGACGCGTGCAATGATCCATTGGAGGCCAGCGCAAGACAGCAGCCACAATGTGAGCAGGAGCCGAGGACTTCCACTTCTGTCTCATTCGATGTCCATTTCCACTTGCTGCTGGCTGGCCAAAGCCAATGAACAGAAATATATCACGCTTGGCGCTCTTTGTTGCCTTATGTAACGCTATTGATTAATCTATGCGGCTCCATTACAACACACAACAAAGAAATGATCTAAAATGAAAAACCACAACACAGCAAATAACAAACAACACCAACAGAAAAAAAAAAAACAAAATAACTAAAATGAAAATAATAAATAAAATAAACAACAAAAACCAGGCTTGAAATCAATGAATATTTTGTAAATATTTTGCTGCTCGCTGCACTCTTCGTGTCTGCTGTAGCTGGCTAAAGTTATGCTTGGCGCGTAACTGGGACAACAGCAACAATAACAACAACAACAACAACAACAACAACAACAACAGCAACAGCAGCAACAACAACAACAACAACTGCAATGGCCACACTCTCGCTTTCACGTCAGACCAATCGAACACAGAATAAAAAATTAAAACACAAAAATTTTATACATATGCATTATGTATATATGTTTATATAATATTAGATTTGTATGCATGTGTGTGTGTGTGTATGCTTCGCTTTTATTAGAAGAGTAAACGAGTCAAAAAGAAGGCAAATATATTACACATAATAATCCTAGCTAGACGATCATGAGGAACTAAGTTTTATATATAGTTTATATGGATATCCAGCAAATAGCATAATGTTACCACAATAGATATATCTTCGAGCTATAAGAACTTATTAATTAAAATATTCCATGCAGACCTACGGATTTACTACTAATCAGTACTGTAAAGTTTGCTGTAAAGTTTGCTTGCTTAATACTTTTAAAAAATTGAATCCGACACACACAGGCGTGGGTATACTCAATACTCCCGCTCATAAGAACAGACGGATGGATGGGCAGCATGACGGGCAAAACCAATTTACTCATTCACGAAAGTGTAAAATAGACGAATTCGATTTTTCAGACGTACAATATAATCAAAAATCGGAAACGATAAAAACAGAATTTTTACCCTTTGCTCTATGAAAAGAGACAATAGGGATAATTATTCTTGAGAAAATGAATATTTATATGCAAGAAGAGCAATTCGACTGTTCCTCGTAGAAGGGAACTTTAAATAAAAGTCACTTCTCTGCGGAACAACGACTATTTCAGTATAGATTCCTGTAGCATTCCATATTAAACAAAACATTGCCAAAGCTTGAACACAATTTAAAAAAAAAACCTCTAAGGAAAAGGCTGAATTTTGTT